ACACACACACACACACACACACACACACACACACACACACACACACACACACACACACACACACACACACACTTGTTAAGCACACACACTTGTTAAGCACACACACACACAAAACCACAGATAATAAAACAACAAAGACACATGCCATCAGACTTACTCAGATAAAACTGCATCTCATGGGTTTAGGGAACCCCCATTGTGTCTTAGGTTTTTTTTCCTCAAAGTTTTGTTGTCCTGATGGAAAATTCAATTTCCCACAAGTCCTTTCACTCCTAACAACAACATTACAGAACGTCACAACTTGTTTTTAACATTTAAAGACATAAAAAGCTGAGAAGAGAGTTGCTATGCAGCCAACTCTAAATCTTTTTGAGAGGAAGCTGTGGCCCTCGGGGCCTGTGTGTTTGCCTGCACTTGCTACTGTATCTATCTACGCTCACATCCTCCCAGAACATGAGAAGGGAAGCCGGTTTGTTTGTGTTGGCCCCTTAATCTGCCCTGACGACAGGCTGTAAGGAGACAGATGTATTGGGATGCAGTATTGAAGATGGTGTGTTCTCCCCCTTTTCTCCTCAGAGCGCTTCACACAGCTGCTACTTCCTCCACCGAGGACAGATGTGGAGATCCTTCCCGTGGTCCAACAGAGGAGTTATCCCAAGTAGGTTTCTGTGAGTCAGTAACTTTATGAGGGACGTGGAGGGGGGGGGACTTGATTTCTCATGAATGCTCAGTATCCCAGAGGTGTCTGACCTGCTGACTGAGCTCCTCTGGCTCTTTGAGACCGTGGGCCGGCAGCGACAGGGGTTAGATGTGGGCTCTGAGGAGCGGACAGTTTGTTTTGTGACACAGGACCAGAACAAACTGTTCAAACCACCAAACTCTGTCCTGGTGATGAATGAATTGCTCCACAGTGCCCCCCTGTGGCCAGACGAGTGATAGCATGACACTGCTAATAAAAAACATTGGTTTTATTATCATGTGGTTGATCATTATTTATTTTCACGTTTGTGTTTCAATGAGAAAAGTTGTTGAACTGTTTGTAATGTTTAATTAACAAGACATTATTTTTATTCTGTCCATATTTTTTGATCAGGGTTTATGTCGATGGTCCGTTTGGAGGCCCGTCAGAGGATGTCTTTAACTATGACGTCAGTTTGTGTGTCGCTGGAGGAATAGGAGTCACGCCGTTCGCCTGTGTGCTGCACGCTCTTCTGTAGGTTATGCTCGTCATTTAAACAAAGTCGTAAATGATTTCTGCATAGTACCTCATTCTGTATCGGTCTGTTTCTGTTGTGCACTCAGCGATGGCTGGAGGGGGTTCAGGTTGCAGAGGCTGTACTTTGTTTGGGTCTGCAGGGAGATTCAGTCTTTCTACTGGTTTGCGGAGCTGCTGAGTGCCCTGCATCAAAAGGTCAGAGTTGCTTTTTTGTGTCCATTTTAAACAATGTCAATTCTAGGAATCTGTAAAAGAAATTGTAAGTAAAGTAAAGTAAAGTTTTATTTATATAGCACCTTTCATAGAAGTAGATTCACAAGGTGCTGTACAATCAGAGGCAAATCAAAATATATACGATCAGAACAGGATATACAAAAATTTGGAACAAAAAAGTATAAAAGCTGTACAACCATCAAAGTATTAAGACTGTGCAATCCGAAAAATAAAACAAGTAAATGATATCTAGACAAAAATGGGGAGGGCAGAGTAAAACAATAACATACTGTATTAAGACGAAGGATTTTTAGATCAGAAATTAATTTGGAGGCAGGTCTCCGAATGGGTAGGTTGTGGAGTACAGGTACACTTTAGAAAAATACATTTTTGATAAATTGAAATGACTTTGGATGAAAATACTGTCTGTTTGACATACATTAATATGATGAATTGTTCGGTTAGTATGTAGGGTTTGGTGAAACAGACATTAAGGTCAGGCTGCAGAAAAATGCTGAAATTAGTTAGTTAAATGCTAGTTTAAAGAGGTGTGTTTTCAGATATTTCTTGAATGAATCAATGCTTTCAAGCATGCGCAGATGGATAGGAAGTTCATTCCAGAGCCTGGGGGCCATGGAGGAGAAGGCTCGGTCACCACGGGTCTTGAGACGTGTGTGGGGAACCATTAGGAGATGTTGATCCTGTGAGCGAAGGCTGCGTTTGGGCTTGTAAGGGGAGATGAGACTTTTAATGTAGTCAGGCGACTGTCCATTGAGAGCTCTGAAAGTGAGGACCAGGATTTTGAACTTGATTTGAAAATGAACAGGGAGCCAGTGAAGCTCTGAAACGATCGGGGAGATGTGTGAGAATTTTGAAGTTCGGGTTAAGAGTCTTGCTGCAGAGTTTTGTACGAGCTGAAGGCGATTTATCTGTTTCTGGTTCAGACAGGTGAACAGGCTATTACAATAATCTATGCGGGTCGAGATGAATGCATGAATTAATAATTCCAGGTCAGAAATGGACAACAGGGGCCGCTGCTTCGAAATATTTCAAAGTTGGAAGTAGCAGGTGGAGACCAGATTATTTACATGTTTGTCAAGAGACAGTCCTGAGTCAAAGTAAACACCTAGGTTGTGCACATGTTTTCGGGCAGTTGAACTTAAAGAGCTGAGATGGTCTTTTATCTCCTGGTGTTTGTTGTCAGGGGCCATGATCAAGGTCTCTGTTTTATTGAAGTTAAGGAGTAACAAGTTGTCTGACAGCCATTCAGTTGTTTTATAGACACAGTTTAAGAGGGAGGTTAGCTTGTAGAAAGTCGAGTCATTAAAAGAGCAGTATAACTGCAGGTCGTCAGTGGAGAAATGGTAAGAGATGTCAGGGAAATCTTTGATGATCTGAGCCAGGGGGCGGATGTATAAAAGGAAAATGAAATGGGCCCAAAATGGAACACTGTGGTACTCCGCAGGTGAGTGGTGCTGAGTCAGAGAAAGACTGAACTAGTTTGACTGAAAAAGAGTGATCTATGAGGTAAGAGTTGAACCAGTCTAGGACAGTTCCTGTTATCCCTATATTCCTCAGGTTATGAAGTAAGATGGTGTGATCCACAGTGTCAAATGCTGAGGATAGGTCCAATAAAAGCAGAACAGAGTACATTCCTCCGTCAGCAGACATTTGCAGATCATTTGTTACATGAAGAAGAACAGTTTCTATAGAGTGTGATCTATGGAAGCCAGACTGGAAAAGGTCATGCAGTTTATAAACATCCAGGTAGTCAGTGAGCTGTGTTGAGACTATTTTCTCTACGACCTTTGACAGAAATGGTAGCTTTGAGATCAGTCGGTAGTTGTTCATGTCAGATGGGTTTAAAGACTGCTTTTTAAATATACTGTAGGTTCCACGACCGCTTTTTTAAGTGATCCCGGTACACATCCAGATGTAAGTGAGAGATTTATCAAGTCTACTAGTGAAGGCCCTACCACGTCATAGACAGCCTTTAAGAATCTGGGAGGTAAGGTGTCAAGTGGGGAACCAGTTGGTTTCATTTTTCATACTATGGTCCTGAGGATGTCAACTGTTACCAGGTCAAAAGTGGACCACGAATGAGAAGGAGAAATTTCAGGTTGGGTGGTGACTTCTGGTGGGGCACGGGATTGTTGTGATACGATGCTACAGCGAATGTTATCAGTTTTTTCAACAAAGTGTGTTAGAAAATTATTGCAGCTGGCCGGTGAATGAACAACAGGAGATGGAGCAGCTGGCGAAACCAAATTATCGATGGTGCCAAATAAAGCTCTGGGATTTTTCTTAAAACGGGAGACCAGTTGTGCAAAGTATTGGGACCTGGTAGTGATGACCTAAGTTCTTTAAGGTGAAGCCTGTGCACCTCTAAATGGGATGATTTCCATAGATGCTCAGCTTGTCTACATTTTTGTCTAGCAGAGAGAATGGTTTCATTTATCCAAGGAGCTGCTGTCTTTACAGTAGATGTTTTTGAAGTTGTTATCACAGTATTGTCATTAAAAACAGTTGAAAAGTGATTGGTGTTGAAAACTGAGTTGAAAGTTGAAAATTGCAGGTGCTCCTGCGTTTTTAACTTTGTCATATCACTGACAAAAATAAATTACAGATAAATATGGTTTGGTAACAAAAGGACTACAGTACTTATACTGCTTCTTTCATGTATTTTTACAGCAATTAAAATGAAATATTCTGTTTCCTTTTTTTTTTGTGTACTCTGTCTGTACCAGGAAATACTGAACTCCTCTGTTTGTTTTGTAGCTTTGGCAGGAGAACAGACCTGACTACTTTAATCTGAAGCTGTATGTCAGTTGCACAAACAGCTTGCAGGTAAATTTTTGCACACACGTCTTTAGTTTGCTTTTACTTTTCATCACAACTTGCACATTTCTTTATGGTCTTTACTTGTCAGTTGTATGTATGCTCCACTAGAGGGCAGTATAACACAGATAGATCAAAAATCTAAAGCACAAAGTCTGCTGTCTTTTGTTGAACACAAAATATGTCTGTTTTCTTCTGGAAATATATAAAACTTAAGTCAGTTTCTGGTTTAACATCTTATTTAGAGGTCTTTAAATTGTAACTTCTTTGAGCTTTTATTGTGACAGTATAAAATACCCTCCATTAGAGTTAATGTCTAAGTTCAGAGCAAAGCAGAAATCAAAATACCCAAATCTAAACAAACATTTTAATATTTATTGTTTATTTTGTTTTATCATCTGTATTTGTTAGTAACAAAGATATTTGCAGTATTAGAACACATCTAAGTTTGTACTTTATCAGTATTCTGTAGATTTGTTCTCAACTCCTCGTTAGTATAGTGGTGAGTATCCCCGCCTGTCACGCGGGGGCCAGCCGCGAATAGCTGTGACAGAGTGACAGCCAATCAAATTGCAGCATTCCTGACACAGGGATGCTGATGCTGAGGATACAGAGAATCCATCATCCAAGATGCTCAAACCTCCAGGAGAGGCTTTTCTGAGCAATAATAAGATTTCTGTTGATGAGGAAGAAAATACTAGTTGTGTCTAACCATTTTAATGTTAAAAATAAAAGTTTTTATAGTTTATGCCTGAGTCTTCATACATAATTTATGAATAATAATTAGTTTATTACATATTCTTATGTTAATTAACTTTGTGATATTTTATATAATTCCAACAGTAAAAAAAATGAGTTACTACTGTAATAGCAAATACAGGACCCCTGATACAGGATTAAATCCATGTAGCATCAGTGTTTGCTCTAATTTACACAACCAAACTGTTATTGATTCACGAGTTATGAATCCCTTGTAATTATTTTACTTTTAATTATGCTAGGATTTTSTTAGTGTCTTGAAAATAGGAGCCATTACTGCATTAGCAGCCCTATTGCTTTTTTTCCTTCAACACAMTTACCTTCCTTATGGCAACTATATGCATATTGTAAATATATTTCATTGGACGTGCAATTTAATAAAAACAAGCAAATACTGTATGTTGACATATTTCTTTGTATTTTGTTTTAAAAGGAGAGTAAAACAGTTCAAATACTCACAAATATATAGAACTAAGAATTATTTATCAAAACAAAATAGTAATATTTTAAAATATAAGTACATATGTATATAATATACAATTATGAAGATAATATATTTATACAACAGATATAAAATATTTCTATTTAAAATATATTCATATATCAATGCACAAAGAATATATTTCTTATAAACATTGCAAAAATGGCTTTCAGTCAAACTGTTTAGATCCAGAGCCATGTAATTTTGAGCTTTGACAACGTCGATACTTGGGTAAATGTACAAAACAATATGTGCAAAAGGAACAGCACGTCAGAAATGCACCTCGAACAAGTGTGGTTACAACTGTACTACACACACACACACACACACACACACACACAAACAACACGACAAAGACAAAACCT